GCTGACCCTCCAGGTTTTCAAAGACACGGGAGGTAACACTTTAATTTTAAACCATGTAGTGTACCCTTGCTCTGTTCATACAACACCTTCTTGGTCTAGGTATAGGTTTCATATAAGTATAATTAAGAATTCTGGGATTCCCATTGGTACCAGCAGTCAGGAGAACAGGAGATGTATTGCATTGGGAAAGTTCATTGCCACTGACCTCTCCAAATTATTGAGGAACAATCATGTCAGTTTGAAGACCAAGAAGGTGTGCCTGATTCAGTTCATGCAGCTAATAGATGAACTATGAATAACGGTGACAGAAGAATTGATGCCCTTGAGTTGTGCTGGAGAAGAATACTGAGCATCTCATAGACTGACAAAGGAACAAACATGCATGTCTCAGAAAAACTGCAGCTGGAATGTTACTCAGAGGCAAGGATGATGAAGCTTTGTTTCACATACTTTGAGACTATTGTTAGGAGAGACTATTTCTTGGAAAAGGACATTATGTTTGGAAAGATGGAAAGCCAGCAAAAGATGGGAAGATTCTAAATGGAATGAGTTGACACAGGGGCTGCAGCCATTAGCACAAGTGTGTCAGAGACAATGGGGATGGTACAGGCTAGGAAAGGGGTCAGATCTGTTGCTCTTAGGGATGCTATGAGCCTTCTTTGGCTCAATGGCACCTAAAAACAACAACCGGGCTTCTAGGGAGCTCTAGTAGTAAGGAGCTGCACTACCAACTCAAAGGTGTGTAGTTTGAATACACCAGCTGCTCCATGGAACAAATATGTGCCATCTCCTCCTGAGAGATTTATTGCTTCTGAAAACCCACTAGAGGCTGAGCTATGGGCCACTTCAGGTTCAACAGCACCTAAGCCAACAACATCACATCACATCACATCACATCACATCACATCACATCACATCACATCACATCACTTGTCGTCTGGCTCCAGGAATTCAAATGGATTACAACTTCAGCATCACAGCATTCTCTATCTCTCACATGTATCTGTGTATTTTCTTTTTGATAAGATCACTTTCTGTAGAACGTAATATTAACCTGAGGATATCTCATAGATCTTATTTACAGAGTCACACTCACAAACAAGCATAGAGTTGAAAAAACATCAACTTTTTTTTAAGCATACAGTTTTATCCATATACAGGAGGACTTCATGTTTCATATGATTTGGGGGGAAATGTTTTCAGTGACTTCTTTCAATATCAACTTTCTTGGTCCTCTGTAATGAGTTCAGATGCCATCTGTAATGTCACAGCTAAACTTCTCTATGTAGTTCATCGAGCTGTGTGCTGCTAACCCAAAGATGATGTCTCTCTAACGATTTGAATCTACTTTCATCATAGGGTGAAAGATGGACATCTCCCATTTGGTGTATAGCATCTAAAAATCCACTGGAAAGTCTGTTACGAGTTACTGGGTCAGAACAGTTGCCTATATTGGAATGCGTGACTTACATAAGAAACTTTACATATTCACATTCTGCCTGGCCAGAACTCTTCCTTTATGGTTATTTGACTTCAGGTTATTCTTTCATATTCTTTTCTCTGGAGGATTTGGTCCTGTAAGTCCTGCTTTATGTGTTTGATTATCTTTGTGACATCTCTGGAGATGGAGAATCTACACTTAGAATTATGATTAAGGTCCCTATGAGTTTAATTATAGAGAAGTCAACCTTTGAGATGCACCAATTAAGTAAGTGACTTAAGAATATTTGTGAGGAGGAGAAGAGGATATTTCTTATAGTTCTAATGTAAATAAAATGTATTAATACTGTTTCCCTTATCACAGGGCAATGGTCTATATGAACATACATTTATTTTCTACCTCTCATGCAGCCATAGTTCAAATAGTGAACTTTGTATGAAATCAGACCAACAGGATGGATTGAGAATCAAAATAATGTAAATGCAATTTCCTTTCTGAAAAACTGCAAAATTTTTATCTAAAAGTTTCATAATATTCTCTTTCACAATTTACTGCTTAATTTGTTAACTTCATTCTGTTTATTTAACATTTACTTTAGAAAAATTAGAGCAGCAATGAAGTTTTTAGTTCTCTTCGCTTGCACTCAAGATACAGCCTTCTTTTTATTAGAAAAAAATATTTTACATTTGAATTAAAATTTCTAGCCATTCAAAGGTGATACTTCTCTGAAGTAAGAGAGACTTCCTGAAGCATGGAAAGAATTGGTAATGTAGAAGCAGTTCTAGATTCATTGATGACATGTGTGTTATTTCACTCTCTGTATCCTCAGAGAGGATGGCAGTGCATGAAGCTTTTACCTTCTAAGACAAAGGAGAAAATGCCACAATAAAGAACACTAATTGATTGACTGCTTCATTTGCAGGTAATCCAAGAAATGTTTTATCATTAAACTTTCCTTTTTCAAGAGTTTATTGACAGTATGATTTGGAAAAAGGTATTTTTCCCCAACATAACCAAGATAAGAGACTCTTCATAATTGATAAAACTCATGGAGATTGGATTAATTATGAAATACTGTTTTGGATATTTTCATACTGTTAAGTTGTGTAGTGTTATTTTTAAAATTTTAATTGAGATTTTATTTTAAGTTTATAAAGGATTTGGATTTCCACCCATTCATCATTGCACATTTTCCTCCCTGCCCACTCCCCCTGCCAGTTTGTTTTTTGTTTAGAACAAAAGTTCTTTCATTGTTATAAAGTCCCTCCCACAGACCAATTTACTACACAGCTCTTATTCTGGACTCTTGTTGCACCAATAATATCTAATCATATATTACTTTTATACAGTTCTCTCCCTTGTCCATTTCAATGCTGTGTACATTATTTATCCCCTCTTTTCTTAGTTTCTCCCAACCCCCTCATCAGTCCTGTTTTATAACAGTGGCATTATACAGTATTTGCCTTTTTGTGTCTGAGATATTTCACTCAGCATAATGTCCTCCATGGTCACCCATTTCTAATAATATTTCGTGAGTTCTTTGTTTTTCAGTGTGGCATATTATTTGGTTGTGTGAAAAACCATAGCTTCTCTATCCATTCATTTGTTGATGGACATTTGGATTGTTTCAAACTCTTTGCTATTGTGAACAAAGCAGCAATAAACATGGGTGTGCAAATATCTGCCTGGGTGGCAGTTCTGGTTTCTTTACGGTATATTCCCAGTAGTGGAATTGCTGGGTCAAATGGTATTTCTATTTCCAACTTTTTGAGGAAGCGCCATATTGTGGTGATCTTTTTAAACTCAAGGGTTGTTGTTTTTCTTAGGTGCCATTCAGTCTAGTACAACTCACAGAAAAACAGATCTGAACTCTGTCCTCTCCTGTGACACCCCTGAAACCTCTGAAACACTTAAGACCATTGCCACAGTCACTCTGTCAATCCATCTGGTTGAAAAATTGGCTCTCCTCAGTCCCTACACCTTTCCATGCATGATATCCCTTTTCAAAGAATAACTTCTTAGCAACATGATCAAAATTAGAGATGAAATTTTCTCATCTTTGATAAGTACTCTGGTTGTACCTTCTCTAGGACATAAATATGTTTTTGGCAGTCTTAGAAGAGTTTTAGCACCCTTCTCCAACACTGCTGTTGAAAAGCATTACTTATTCTTCTGTCATCCTTGTTTATTTTCCAGCTCTCATCCACATACCAAGTGCCTATAAAGACCTTGACCTGAATTAGGTGGACCTTAGTCCTCAAACAGATATCATTGTCAACTTTTAAAAAAGTTTTCTTTTATATTGGTTTGCTCACAAAGTTCATATACATTGTGCTTCACACTATATTTCATTTTCCGTTTCTCATCAAAATAAAAAAAATTAAATTTTTATCAAAGATAACTATTTGAGTAATATTTCAATGGACAAAAAAACCTTATATTGGAAAATCTTTTATAGGAGCAGTAGAAGTGCTTTGTATGAATCTTTTAAATCTGTTCATAATTAGAGAATTGTGTACATCTATAAACCTTAGATGAAATGACTTTCAATGATCAAAGGTGGTTTCTTAAAAGCAAATTAATACTTTAATCCATAGGTTTGAAACAGTAGGTAAGAAAAAAGGGTAAAACTGATCATTAGATTTAACAAGTTCATCGTGTTTTCATAAAGAACGGAGTTGAGTTGCTTGTTTGATAGAGAGGTCAGATAGAAGTGTAAATTATTTAAACAATAGAGAAATTATACAGAGGGAAAAATCACCAATGAACACAATGCAAGAGATGATTGTTGAAGAACTGTTTTGAGTGTTATTAAAAATAAAGGATCTAGTGTACATGGCTTTTGGACATGTGTACAGAACTTAGCCTGTGTTCAAAACATGGACAATCTGTGTATTGTGAACATAAGGTTAGGCAGAATTATAAAATACAATAATGAAGTCAATGCTAATAAATACTTAGAAAATAGATATTTTAATGTAAATTATTCTACTGTTCCTGAATTTTAAAAATTGTTTCATTTAATAACATGAAACTATTACTCAAATCTTTCTTTTTTTTATTGAATCTTTATTCATGTTTTCTATTTGATTTCTCTGTATCACATTGACTGTGTGTACAACATTTTGCTTTTTCCCTGATAAAAAGGTAGTGCCCTACTCATTTGTTTCACAGTCTCTTTCCGCATATTTTTCCCTAGTTATGGGTTAGTTTTCCATTCATTCCATAAACCTATTATAATTGTGTTGTTGTGTGCAGTCAAGCTAGAGCTGAATACAGTTGACCCTCCAACATGTTTCTAGAAGCTCTAAATTGCACAGGAGGAGATTATGCATTTTTCTCTAATAGAGCAAATGGTGCATTCAAACCAAGTGCCTTTGGGTTGACAGTGTAACTAGACCACCTGAGCTTATTATTATTACAGACTATGCTTTAATCAGCAATATATCATGAAAGGGTGCAGAAACCCTGTTTAAATGTAACTTAAGACTTCAAAGAATTACTAGTCATAATTGTATTTACAGGTAAATTTGTCCTTAATTCTGAAGTGGAAGAACACATGGAAGAAAGATACAATGTGACTGAGTTTATCCTCTTGGGGCTCACTCAGAGTCCCCAGGGTCAGAAAATGTTATTTATTGTGTTCTTGCTGATCTACCTGGCAACAGTGGTAGGCAACCTCCTCATCGTGGTAACTGTACTGGTCAGTCCAGCCCTGGATGCCCCAATGTACTTCTTTCTTGGCTACTTATCATTTATAGATGCTGTTTTCACTACTACAGTTACTCCAAATATGATTAAAAACTTACTTTCTAAAAAGAAGACCATTTCTCTCCAAGCTTGCCTGACTCAGCTATTTGTAGAACACTTTTTTGGTGGAACTGAGATATTACTTCTAGTGGTCATGGCCTATGACCGCTATGTGGCTATCTGCAAACCTCTGCATTATATGACCATCATGAACCAACGAATGTGTGTTCTGCTGCTGCTTTTGGCCTGTTTGGGAGGATTTCTGCATGCAGTAGCTCACCTTCTTCTTGTTTACAACCTTCCCTTCTGTGGTCCCAATGTCATCGACCACTTTGGCTGTGACATGTATCCCTTATTAAAACTTGCTTGCACTGACACCTATATCATTGGTCTCTCTGTGATTGCCAATGATGGAACAGTATGTGTGGTCATCTTTTCCCTGTTACTCACCTCCTACGGAATCATTCTACATTCCCTGAAAAACCTTAGTCAGGAAGGGAGGAACAAAGCTTTGTCTACCTGTGGCTCCCACATCATTGTGGTGGTCCTTTTCTTTGTCCCTTGTATCTTTACATATGTAAGACCTCCTTCCACTCTACCTATGGATAAATATTTGGCTGTGTTTTATACTGTGTTCACCCCTATGTTGAACCCCTTAATATATACTCTGAGAAATGCTGAGATTAAAATCGCCATAAAAAAACTTTGGAGCAGAAAAGCAAAATGACCTGACAGATAAACATGTTACCTACACTTAATAACGAATTGAATGTCTAAGTCAACAGAATAAGAAAACTTCATATACCCAATGCTACTGATTCAATTCCAAGAAAACAACGTGCAATTGTGTGAAATAGTGCTGAATGTGAAAGAACTTATGCATGGTGAGAAACATTTATTGGAATACATTCAATGCTAAATTTTGTTTCAATTATTTTTAAGATTTTGATTTCTTAAAACACACACTAAAGTTTTTTATCTGTAATGGTCCTTTTGATTCTGCTGATTTTTGTTATTCATAATAACTTATGTTAAAATTGATGCAAAGAATTTATTTGGAAGATTTTTCTTGATTCTTTAATAAATATTTTACAATTAATAGCATCAAAGGTAGATTTCAGTATAATTTTTTAAAAAGTTGATTCACCTCCACCATACACCTAGGTAGACCAAATTAACATTAGTAATGTATGCCTATGTATTTATATGCAAGATATTTTACATATATTTTGCTTATATTGCTTGTTGTTGTTATGTGCGTTGAGTAGCTTGCGTCTCATAGCGACCCTATGTACAACAGCCCTAAACCCTGCTCTATCCTGTGCCAATCGCATTGCCTCTGACACACCCATCCCGATTACCCCAGTCACTGAATCAATCCATCTCATAGAGGGTCTTCCTCTCTTGTGCCTGCCCTCCACTCTCTCAAGCATGATGTCCCTCTCCAAGGACCTGTCCCTCCTTACAACATGTCCAAAGTATGTCAGACGAAGCCCCAGAATCCTTGCCTCCAAGGAGCAGCCTGACTTAACCCTCTCCAGGTTGATTATGTTTTGTTATATTGCTTAGCAAAAGATTTAAGAGAAAAGATGAATCAGAGTTCTAAATTATTAACAAAGAAGCTAAACATAAAAAAAAATCAGATTGAATTAGTCATGTATGAGAAAAAATTATCAGATCCCACTTGTTTTTTACAGTTGAAAAAGAATACTATTGACTTAGATGGAAGAGTTTACATGGTGTTGTTTTATTTTCGTTAAGATGATACATTGAGAAAGATGGGATAAATAATGTCTATTGCATTGAAACAGAAGAGGGTTAGAACTGCTTAAAAGGGATATATGACTGGATATTTTTGTGACAGGAGTAAAGAAAGAGGGTAGCATGGTGGAGTGGACTTGGGGGCAGGAATTGAATAACAATGAAAGATTTATTATTATTTTTTTTTTTACTTTTCAAAAAGAAAAGTGAATTTGGGGGATTGGTGGGCAGGGAGAAAAGTGCAACAATGAATGAATGAAAATCCAAAGTCTCTGTAAACTTCCATTAAAATCAATTTAAAATTTTTTAAAAAAGATGATACATTCATCTTCCCAGATAGTTTACAATATCTGATAATAGTTTTTCTCTTCGCAGTACCCTATCATCTTTCTTTTAGATTTCTTTTTCTTCTAATAGGGATCTAGAACCTTCCCTCTATATGAAAAAATAGCAAAATCAATAAACTATGTGCTTCAAATATAAAACATAGACATTGATAGTTGAATATTTTGCATAATTGTATTGGCAGGAAAGATTATGGCAATTCGTGTTATTTTCATTCTCATTTTTCTTGCTAAGCGAAAATAGATTACTGGATAGGGAATCAATTAAAATATATGGTTCCACTTGACAGAGGCCTCGTTCATAAGACCTCTGACGTCTCTCTTTTGAAAAGGTCTTAAAATAAAATATTAACTGCCTCTGATATGTAGGAAACTTGCGATCAAAGCCATTCCTGGTTCCTGCCTCCCCTGTTGAATCTTGTTTCATGAAAGTCTAAGGTGGCAGGGATTGAATTCGCTTTATCTATAAGACACATTATAACTTTTAATCTGATTTACATCCCTTTATGTACTGGTTTGTATCTAGAAGAGTACACCAGAGATGCTGAGGATGGTACAAGATAGTGCAGGGTTAACATCCATTGTTCATAGTGTTGCTGTGAGTTGCAATCAATATAACAGCACACAACAATAAAAAACATTTTAACAGTATTTTTCAGTGGCCAAGGCTGTGTTATTTGTATAACACAAGTTATTAATGATTCTCTCACTGATCCCGATGCCATATTTGTCTTCATAGAGAAATCTTGAATAATTTACTCAGCATATAGATTGAATAGTTGTGGAAAGGGAACACAACCCTGACACACTCCTTTCCTCATTTTAAACCATGTAATGTTAAAGCGTCTCACCACTGGGCCAACTGGCTGCACTATGATGGATGGAGAAGAGACTGAGGTTGTTAACAGTTACAGCTTGCTTGGCTCCACAATCAACACCCTTCACACCAGCAGTCAGGGAAATCTGTTAGCAGTTAGGGAAATCTGCTGTCAGATTTCCAGTACTTGCTGTTAGTACTTTCCAGAGTACTGAGAAGCAACAATATCAGTCTAGAGACTAAGGGGCCCCTGAGTCAGGTCATGGTCTTTACAATTATGCATCAGAGACCTTGACAGTAACTAAGGGTGATAGAAGAATAATTGATGCCTTTGAGTTGTGGTACTGCAGAAGATTCTCGAATATACCACAGACATGAAATCAACTTTCTCTTTGGAGGCTAGGCATTTGAAGTTTTGTCTCACATACTTCGGGTATGTGGCCAGAAGAGACTGATCCTTGGAGAAAGACATCATGTTTGAAAGGGTTGAGGGACAGCATAGGAGAGAAAGACCCTGAAAGAGATGGCTTGATACAGTAACTAGGGCAATGGGGGTAGGTGTGTGGTAGTCAGTGAGACTTGCTGAAGACAGGGCAGGCTTCAGAGCTGTTATACATAGAATTGCTATGAGCTGCAGGCCACTTGACAGCACATAAGTGTTTTCCTGCTCTGTTCACACAATAGCCTCCTGGTCTCGGTCTAAGTTTCATATAAGTACAATTAAGTGCTCTGAGATTCCCATTATTCCCAGTGTTAGTCATAATTTGTTATAATATCTTTGCTTGGTCCATAAAGCATAAATAGGCATTCTTCTGGTATTCTTTACTGTCAGCTGGAATCCATCTAATTTCAGCAATGATATCCCTGGTACCACAACCTCTTCTAAATCCTGCTTCAACTCCTGGAAGTTCACTAACTATGTTCGGTCCCAGCTGTTTTTGAATGATCCTTAGCAGTATTTTTCTTGCATGTGATAGTTATAATATTGTTCTATATTCCCACATTGAATTGAATCACCTTTCATGGGAATGGGAACAAATATGAATCTCTTCCAATATTTTGGCCAGAAAGCTGTCCTCCAAATTCCTGACATATACTAATGATCACAGCCGGGGCTGAATCTGTTAATTGAAACCAGTCAGGTGGTATCCCATCAATTCCTGGGGCCTTATTATTTTGCCAATGCCTTTAATGCAGCTTCCACTAACCCCTTCATTACCATTGGGTCCTATTTATATGGTACTTCCTAAATTTTTTCAGTGTCAATCAGTTATTTTTGGTAAAGTGGTTCTGTTTATTCCCTCCATCTTCTTTTGATGCATTCTAGGTCATTCAATATATTGGCCATACAAAAGACATGGAATGAATTTTCTGAGAGGAATATATTCGAATGGCAAACAGACACATGAAGAAATGCTCAAAATCACTGGCAAAAAGAGAGATGCAAATCAAAACCAAAATGAGGTACCAAATCACTCCAGTAACAGTAGCAAAGTTTAACAGGGCAGGAAGTAATAAGTGTTGGAGAAGATGATGAGAAAGGAACTCTTATACATTTTTGGTGGGATTGTAAAATGGTGCAATCATTCTGGAAGGCAGTTTGGTGCTTCCTCAAAAAGCTGAACATAGAAATTCCATATGACCCAGCTATTCATCTACATGGAATATATCCTGGGAAAATGAAAACTGAGGCAAAAATGGAGATTTGTACACCGGTGTTCACAGAAGTGTTATTCACCATTGCAAGAACATGGGAACAACCCAGATGTCCAATCACAAATGAATAGAATGAGGAATTAGGGTACATTCACACAATGTAATAATATGCAGCATACAGGAGCAATGATTTTGTAAATTACTAACTAACTTGGGAGGGACTGACGACCATTATGCTAAGTTACCTAACTCAGTCCCACAAAGATAAATATTGTATAAAACCATTGTTGTAGAAAGAGTGTAAGGATCCAGGAGGGGTGGGGGAGGGTGGAAGCTGAGCAATGAGGATGTGGAGGGGAAGGGGGATTAATTATGGGGTTGTACAAATTGATGGGGGGGGCGGTGTGAGGGAAATTGGAAGAATCTATTGTGGAAAACAATGTATTTAAATTCTGTAAATAAACTAGTATAATAATAAGAAAAAGAATAGAAAAAATATATTGCCCATAGCATCTTTCAATATTGCAACTCAAAGCTTCAGTTTATTTTTCAGTTCTTTCAACTTGAGAAATGCAAATTGAGTTCTTCCTTTTTATTCTTCAATTCCAGCTCTCTGCACATTCCATTATTATATTTTGCTTTGTCTTCTCAAGCTTCTCTTTAATCTTCTATTCAAGTCATTTACTTCACAATGTTTCCCCTTTATTTTGGCTTCTTGATGCTCTACTGCAATTTTTAGCTTCTTCTCTGACATCCATTTTGCTTTTTTCTTCTTCCTCTGTTCTTGTAATGAGCTTTTGATTTCTTCATGTATGATATAATTTATTCTAGAATTCATCTGGGGGTCAGTCATTGATGTTCAATGCTTCAAATCTATTCTTAACATGACCTTGAAATTCAGAAAGAATAGACTCAAGATTATATCTTGGTTCTTGTGTACTTATCTTCATTTTCTTCAGCCTCTTTTTAAATTTGCACATGAGTAATTGATGGGTTTAACCCAAAGTCCTCCCCTGGCCTAGTTTTGACTGCCAATATTGAACTTCTCCAATGATGTCTTCCACAGATATCGTCAGTCTGATTCTTATGAAGCCCATCATCAGGTGAAGTCCATGTGTAAAGCCAAATATATAAGGTTAAAAGATCGAC